ACAAGAGAAAAAGACCCTCAAGTAAAAGAAGACACTGCTGATCCGCTCTCGATACCACTTTGAAGAATTTCTCCAAATAGGCAAATATATTTGCCAAGAGCCATGTCTTCTTGTATCCTCCTCCTGGCTGATAAAAGCATGTGACTAGGAAGTTACAATGGGTGGGGGGGAGGCCAAAGACAGCAGTCTTCCCACAGGTCAGACCTACTTCTGATGCCTTCTACATACCAGCAAAAGTTACTGTGAAAACTTAGGGGACTCGAGGAAAAGTTTTTTAATGTTAGTCATTGTTTTATTATTGTGTGTTCCCCTCCTAAGTGTGATTCTTTGCCACCTGAACTAAGGATACAGGGTATGAAAGTTAAAGAGAAAGAGCACTGAGTAGGCTCATATCATATCCCTTTATGTATTTTTGTTACATAAGTTCTTTATGTATTTTTTCTCATGGAACCTTTAAAATATTGTTAAAGTTGGAGCGCCTGGGTGGCTCAGTCAGTTAAGCGTCCGACTTTGGCTCAGGTCATGATCTCAGGGTTTGCAGGTTTGAGCCCCTGCGTCGGGCTCTATGCTGACGGACGGCTCAGAGCCTAGAGCCTGCTTCAGATTCTGTGTGTCCCTCTCTCTCTGCCCCTCCCCCACTCATTCTCTCTCTCTCTCTCTCTCTCTCTCTCTCTCTCTCTCTCTCTCTCTCAAAAATAAATAAACAATAAAAAAAAAACTTTTAAATAAAATATATGTAAAGTTGATGAGTGAATTCATTCTACTCCATCCCCATCATTTTGCCAGGTCAGATTGGGTTGGCAGATGAGGAAAGGGAGCTGGCGACTGGGTGGAGGGTTCCTCTTCAAGGGATGACAGGAGGCAGGAGCCCCATCAGAGCAGCAGGTGTGTCCAGACATCCTTATGGAAACAGAAATCCAAACGTCTATAGCAAAAGGAGAAAGAATTCAAACCTCGGACATTCATCATGAGCCACCTATCTGCCCCATATAAAAAGAATAGAAGAAGGACATGTTGCCTGAAGCACAAGTTAGGGAAACTCGCTTATATTTTAGTAGCTCTGTGACGTACCATGTAAAAGAGTGTTCTCACCAACTTTCTGACAAGCCCCCTACTGTTCTACCCCACTAAGATGATGCCTGTAAAGTCTCCAAAAACTGCCACCAAGTTTTTGATAAGAAACCAAGAGGAGATCAAAAAGTGACATGTATCCTGAGGTCTCCGTCCACTTAGGAGAGAAAGGTTTATGGAAACTCAGTGTACCTTCCAGCATTTCAGCCTCACTGGAGTCCTGCTCCTGGAACTTTGTGCGTAGATAAACTACCTTAGCTTGAATAACCAGGAACACCACAGCAGACGGGTATTTTTATTCCTACTTTATAGAATGCCCAGAATCCCCTGGCTATGAAGAGGCAGGGTTAACATCTCCCACCCAGGTCTGCTTGGATCCAAACTCCATATTGTCTTCAGCGGTCACGTTGGTTCCAGCTCAACCAAAGTAAAAAGTGACAACTAATTGTGTAAGAACCAGACTTGGGAACAACATATGTCCCAGGCAATACAATGAAGGCTATCATTTATTTTTTTATTATTTTTTAACGTTTATTTTTGAGAGAGAGAGAGAGAGAGAGAGAGAGAGAGCAAGCGCGGGGGAGGGGCAGAGAGCGAGGGAGACACAGAATCCAAAGCAGGCTCCAGGCTCTGAGCTGTCAGCACAGAGCCTGATGTGGGGCTCGAATCCATGAACTGCGAGATCATGACCTAAACCACCCAGGAACCCCAACTATCATTATTTTGTATATGTTGTAGGGCCATGAAGGAACACCCCACCAGGAGAGCAAGAGGCTGCAGTAGTATACTGGTCACGTATCCCATTGTTCTGTATCTCTGCTCAGAGAAATGAAAGAGTGCCCAAGGGACGCTCCATCTGGATGGCCACCAAGGCCGGGAGGCCCCACAGGGAGGAGCTGGCATGCAGACAACTTGAACTTTGCTTTCTCTCCCTTGATTCACCTCACAGGCACCCAGTTCCTTCCTGAGACACAATGGAGCCTGAGGGTTTCAAATGAGCCTTAGGAGGAAGGCACATTATTAAGAAAATGGAAAACAGAGTGGATTCTGACCAAGAGGCAACTCCTCCAAATGTAGTATGTTCCAAAATAGGAACAATTGGGAAGTCAAAATAAGGGTGGGAGAACCCAGAAGTCGTGAAAAAAGTCTACATTTAAGAAAAGTTTGAGGCTATCAGAAATTTTCTGTCACTGCTCACTCATGACTTACCCAGAGACATGGATGGGGCTGAGAATCTAAGATTAATTTCACTCCTGTCCAAACCTTTGTTTCTTCTAGACTTTACATGTCTTGGAGACATGGGAGCATGAACTAATCGACATGGAATTACTTACGATAATAGTTTCCAGAGCGATTACATTACTTTTGGATTCTAAACACAGGTTTTGTTTCTAAAAGAAAACTATATTGTTTGTTTCTAATACTTGCTTTTTTTTTTTTTTTTTTAATTCTTGTCTGGAGTTTCTCCGTGCAAGGCGGCAGTAGCAATGTTGTTTTTCCTAAATAAAAAGTATCCAAAAGGCCATTTAGCAACTTCTTGTGCATAAATGTAGCCACGTTAATAAATGTATAAGTGTAGTCCTATAGTCCCTACGTCTCAGGGGGAAAACAGAACGTATTAGTTTGCACATAATGATGGGGTTTTCTTCAATTGCCTTTTACACGAATTACTGGCTATTTTCTAACATTCAAATAATACATTCTCTATGCAAGACATTTAGAAAATACAAAAGATATATATGATTACTCAAGTCGTATAAGTACTGCTAAGAAATTAATTTTTCTTTCTGTTTCATTTTTTCTCTCAATAGATAGCAATATAGATATCTACATAGGTCTAGATATACAGATATACATACATCATACATATGCATATATATTTTTGTGTACTAGTTTTACTTAAAACGTCATGAATCTTTTCCTATTTTGATGACAACTAAAATCCATTGTATAATTTCACATAGGTGAGCAATTTGAGCATACATTGCTGTCCACATCTTTGTAGACAGATTCTTTATTAAAGGATCTCAGATATTGATTGTTGAATTATAAAACACTTAAAAATACTAATACATATTGCCAAAGTGCACTGTTTACACTTCCAAATAGTTTATAAAATAATAGTCCTGACAGCGGCCTTGCCAGCATTGAATGTTACCTATTCTTTCAAATCTGTTTATTTTCAAAGGAGGTGAATATTTTAATCAGCGTTTCTTTACCAGAATTTTTCCCTATTTTCATTCACAATGTGCATCTAGGGTAAGTCATCAGACTTAATCACAGTGGATTCTATGTGACACTGACTGAGTACATGGCTCCCTGGGAATATTTTCCATTCCTCAGATCTGATTTTGTATTTGGTGATTCCTTGCTGAGACAAGGAATGAATTAGCTGAGCTCCCAATTTATGTTCTCTAAAAACCCGTGGGCAGAAAAGTATCATGAGGAAAAGGGATCATTATGTCCATGTGGGACAACGAACTTCCTTCTGTTCTGTGGCCTCAAACAGCCATTTTAACCCTTGTCCTCTGTTCCACTAGTAGAAGCCCTGAGAGCCTGAATGGGAGGATCTGCAGGTTGTTCAACCACTCACTCATTCATTTTATTTCCAAACTCAAATGCTATGCCCATGTGCTTGGCAAATGTTTGCCTAGTGACTGAATCATCGTGACTTTCCCCCCACTTAGTAAATGCAGGGTCTGGTAGTAGAAATATACATATAAACCAATAATTCCATGTGAGAAATGCTATCAGAGATTTGGTGCATATCAGAGAAGGCTGTGTGGCTCACACATTGAGGCTTATGCATAACAGATAACATGACGATCCAGCTAAACGAGAAGGGGTTTGGCTATGAAGATGAGGCTGAAGGCAAGCAGAAAACACAGGATGTGCAAAGATCACAGTGTTTCAGAAGCTCTGCACACTTTGGGATGAAAAGAATGTAAAGCTTAGAGTCAGAAGATAAAAGTAAGACTGGAAAGGAATAGGTGGAGAAAACAACAAGGAGCCTTACTGCTCACGCTACGGAATCTGGATCTCTCTCCCCAGAGGTGACTGGAAGTACCTGAAAGATTTGAACAGCAGGACTGAAGTGTACTCTGGCACCAGCCCACAGAGTGGATCCGAGGGAAAGCGACTGGAACCTGGGGGGTCAGATAGACCTGAATTACAGGTAAAGGTGGGTCCATTAACAGGCAACATGCCAAATAATGGATAGAGGAAGCTTGTAGTAGATGAGTGGGTAGTAGACATGGCTTAGGAAAGGGGTAGACAGGCAGATCAAGAGTCTAGTTTTAGACGTTGTAGTTACCTGCAAGTTATAGGGAAAGACCGCCTAACCTACCAATGTCAAATGAAGTGAGACCAATCCAGTCAAGCCAATGTGGATAATGGTAGATTATGAGAAATTTCCACGTTTCCTACATGTTTATAGTGCTTAGAGCTGGATAATGAGATTTCAGTGATTTTAAAATTATTTTTTATTTTTATATGTATTTTGCTTTATATTATAAACCATATAAACATTATTTCATATATGTTTTAAATTGTTCTGTGATGATATATATTACCAAAAATGTATATTACCAAAAACGATGATACAAAAATTATACTTTTGTGTAACTAAAAGTAAAGAGGAAAATAATCATGGCTACCATTTGTGGTATCTACCCGTAGATTTTACATAATATCTAGGGTTTTACATGTGTTTCTAATCCTCATGGCAGTCCTGTGAGGTACTTGCTATCCTCAGAAAAAGGAAGGAACCAGTCTAAGTGCACAGACTAGTGTGTTAGATTACAAAACCCAATTCTCTACACTTCCCTATACCCACAGCCTTTGCAATGTGACTTTTAAGCTCCTCTCACTAAGAAGTTGAGTCTGTTCCCCTGCCTCTTGAATTTCAGCTAGCCTTCTGACTTTTTCAGCTGAGAGAAGACGGAAGATGTGATGTGGTCCCAGTTCAGAGCTTGGGCTTTGAGATCTGTTGGACACCTCTCCTCTCTCTACCTCTACCTTGCCAATAAGGCCAGACTAGAATGCTAGATGATGAGAAACAGTGTGCCAGCCACACCCATCACCCCAGCCAACAGACAACCAGCTGTTAAACATCAGACATGGGAACAAGGCCATCCTAGACAAGCATGACCCTGGCTAACCTGTAAGCTGACAACAAGACTCCTGAGTAAACCCAGCCAAGATCGGGTGAACTGGCCCAAATCAGCAGAACTGCCCAGCTGACCCGTATGTAATGGTTGTTGCTTTAAGACACTTAGGTTGGGGCATTTTGTTACACACCACTGATACAACAGAAAGTGAAAGAGCTGAGATTTGAACCCAGGTCTAGGTTTCCCCTTGTGTCTCTGAGGCATCCCCTGTGTCCATTATGGAGTTAGTGATCTCTCCGAGGCTTTATGCCTAATTCTCTTCCCCTGCCTCCCCTCCACAGGTGCTTTTAATGTGAAACCACTCATGCTATCTCTGTCCAGGATCTATTTTGGGGTCGCTGTATTTAAATTTGTAGACTCCTCCAGGACTGCCTTGTGTGTTTTGTTTGTTTTGTTTTGTTTTGAATAATTTGTCAATATAATCAAGTTGCTGGAATGGAGAGCCTCTACACCTTGGTTGGCTAATAAAATCAGAATGAACTTAAGAATATATTTTATGTATGCGACCTTCACATATTTTATCTGGTTTTACATTTGTATTATTATGAGGTTAAAAAAAGGATCGTTACACCAATTTTACATGTAAAACAAATAAAACAAACACAAATCAAGACATAGATATAGAGTACTTGTCTGGGATCAAGCAACGAATCAGACACCCTGTCTGCAAGCTCAGCCTGACCTTACCACCAGACCATGAAATCTAGAATCTGACCCAGGATTATTTAATCCAGCTGTGAGATTTAGGAGGCCATTTAACATGCTGGCTTTTTTTTTTTTAAACTTTTTAACGTTTATTTATTTTTTGAGAGACAGAGAGACAGAGCATAAGCAGGGGAGGGTCAGAGAGAGAGGGAGACACAGAATCCGAAGCAGGCTCCAGGCTCTGAGCTGACAGCTCAGAGCCCAATGTGGGGCTCAAACCCATGATCTGTAAGATCATGACCTGAGCTGAAGTTGGACACTTAACCGACTGAGCTACCCAGGTTCCCCTAACATGCTGGTTTTCTAGTTAAAAATAACAATCCATTTCCTATTGGATTTCACACATTGCTGATTTAACCGGGATTCTTCATTGTCCCCAGAAGTGTAAGGAAATAATCATCCCTCAAAGAGCATAATCTTCATGAGGGTAGGCCATTGTCTATTCCCTTTGTTACTTGATCCCCAGTGCACAGAAGAGGCACACAACATGGAAAAAAATGAGTGCAGGTACTAAGCATCTAGGTGCTGAGTTCTGAAAATACTCATTTAATCCTCACATACTCTTATTTCTTGCAAATTTCATCATTTTACAGATGAAGCATTAAGATTCAGGGGTTTACATCCTTTTCTTAAAATAAGTCAGAGAATGAGTGGCAGAGTCACATTTTGAACCTAGGATTGTCAAGGTCAAAATGCATGCATTTTTTTTTCCTCATCGCCCTTCCTTCTTCCCCAAGGAACAGATACACTTGCCTGACTGATAGTCCCTAGAGTTAGGTTTCTATATAAGTGGCCTCAAGCAGCTATCTCTACCAGTGATTAAACATGAGAATGGCAATGCAAGCTGGTACAGCCACTCTGGAGAACAGTATGGAGGTTCCTCAAAAAATTAAAAATAGAACTACCCTACAACCCAGCAATTGCACTACTAGGTATTTATCCAAGGGATACAGGTGTGCTGTTTCGAAGGGACATATGCACCCCAATGTTTATAGCACCACTATCAACAATAGCCAAAGTATGGAAAGAGCCCAAATGTCCATCGAGGGATGAATGGATAAAGAAGATGTGATATATATATATATATATATATATATATATATGAAATGGAGTACTACTCGGCAATCAAAAAGAATGAAATCTTGCCATTTACAACTACGTGGATGGAACTGTAGGGTATTGTGCTAAGTGAAATTAGAGAAAGACAAATATCATGACTTCACTCATATGAGGACTTTAAGACACAGAACAGATGAACATAAGGGAAGGGAAACAAAAATAATATAAAAACAGGGAGGAGGACAAAACAGGGAGACTCATAAATACGGAGAACAAACTGTGGGTTACTGGAGGGGTTGTGGGAGGGGGATGGGCTACATTAGTAAGGGGCATTAAGGAATCTACTCCTGAAATCATTGTTGCACTATATGCTAACTAATTTGGATGTAAAATTTAAAAAATAAAAAATATAATTAAAAAATGAGCAAACAGGCTTCAGCTAAAGAAGAATAAACATAGTAGACATTAATTTAAAAGAGACTTTTAGACTGTTAAATTTTTGAGCCATCAGAGTATGCTGTAAATTAAAATGGGAATTTCTGATTTATGGTTTGATTCTGCAGGGAAACAATCTTGTAGGTACCATGGCCTACGTGATTGCACCAAGGAATTTGTGATTATTTCACAGAGTGCCGGAGCATGACTGTAAGGGCCAGATCACTGCCAGTTTCCCTCTTGATTTGCTCTTCATCCAGGCCTTTCCTAACATAGCGTGAACACAAAGGTCAATTTCCTGCAGTCAATTTGAAAAAGGCCAACCCTCAATTAACTTTGCAAAAGGGGTCAGAGGTGATGTGGAGAAATAAAATCCGCAAGTAATGTAAAACACCCATTTCAGCTCTGAGCTCAAGTAGCCACTTCTAACCAAATGCTGACCAGAGTTGCTAACTGGTAGTAACACAGATAAATTTGCAACCAGTTGCTCAAATCTCATCATTTCTGCTACCCAGTCTGGGTGAACAGATCAATAAAGGAGAGGTTGCAAGATTAGCAACCGGAGAGAGAAGGAAAACGCAGAAACGGAACGTGGTATAATATGCAAACTAACTATTATTATTAAAGTAATTATTATTGAGAATGTATTAGATTCTTCCCTCCAACCTCAAATAGACTTGTAAGTGTTCCCACTCATCTTTAATTGCGCTTCCTCCCTGCTGATGAACCAACATTTCTTGTGCCAAGCAGAGGCCTCTGATCTGTTGAGAGGCTATCCTACCCTCTCACACTGTGGCATGGCCCCTTAAACCCAAACCAGGCAGTGGAGAAGCTCGCTGTAGTCTACCAAAATTCAACCTCCAATGCTTACTAAGCCCCTAACTATTGACACAAGGCAATACCAGGGACTCTGCAGTATGCCATGCTGTCTAGGGAATGATTCATTCAACCTTCTTGAGTGAGGGATGCAAAGCCACTTGGGGAGGGGCGGGGGGGGGGGGAGTCAGTAAAAGGCACCATTCCACCTTCGATACAAATCCCTGTAATCAAAACCATATTCAGCCAGCTCCGTCTTCCCTCCAAACTCCCTCTGAGACGCTATAAACACTGGCAGACAATGCATGTAATTAAGGTGGAATACATTCTCATAAATGTTTGTTTCTGTCTGCTAATTGTTTTAGTGACTATTAGAAGATGTCTTGTGGTCAGTCTGGAGAACAACAGCAAGGATTCCTGAATCCTCACTGAGAAGCAGCTCAGGAGCATGGCACGAAGACAGTGCTGGACCGTGCAGCCACAGCCTTGGGAAGCAGAGAAAGACGGAGGTTAGAATATGTTTTCCAGCCTTAATTGTCCAAGCGTGGGCTCAGCGTAACGGTGACATGATCAAGCTTCCCCCTCTTGCTGTAAAGAAACACTGAGAGACTGTGCACATTGTTGTCTTTCAATACCAAGGGGGGAAGTGGGCGAAAGAAAGTAAGAGTGTTCTGGCACCAGAATAATTTCTCCATTACCTCAATTAGTTCCAATGATGTGGAAAAGTTCTGTCTGGAGAAATCAAACTAAACGTAAAATCACTGAAGTGCCCGCGGTGGCGGCGGTAGGTGTTGATACAGGCATTAGTCAGCAATACTGATTGCAATGAAGTCACTCAAATAGCCCTGTCGCTGGAACCCGGGCAGAGAAATAAACTCATTAGATCACCCCTTTAGTGAAGCATGTGGTTTTCAATGTGGCACCAGCGCAACCTGGCACCCACCAAAAGATTTAGCTGTCTGCCCTTGGAAGGCACAATTTACTAAGGTGTCTGGTAAAGAAATCTGGATAAGTACCATTATTATTTTCTACAGAAACATAAATAAGTCCTCTTTCTTAAGAGCCACATTAGCCCTTAGTTACAAGATGTTGGATTTTCTTTAGGGAAGTAACTGGTTCTTTGTGGCCATAGAGCACAAAATGGAGACAGCTAAAAGGCAGAGACTATAGGAGATGTGGGCTTAGCACAGGGAAGAATTTATAATGCTTGAAGCTGGCCATAAGGTTCTCATGCATGATAGATATTAAATTCCCCATTGGGTTCAGTGAAGGCTGGATCACAACCTGCCAGGGGCAATGCAGGGAGAATTCTTGCACTGAATGGGTCATTGAATGATTTAAAATTTTCTTTCTCCGGTTAAGATTCAGCTAGCAAAAGGAGTTGAGAGAATCAAAGCCATTAAACACACACACACACACACACACACACACACACACACACACCCCTCTAGACTCTCAAAAGATATTCTGCCTTATACAGAGTTATGTTAAAATCATGTTTTCCTTAATGTTTGAAAGAATTGATAAACATGGAGGTTCTCTGTGATGGGTTGAGCAACTTCATCAAGTAGTATATTTCTCTCTCCCAGTTTAACTACAACCCTCTTCAAGCACTTCTTTTGATACAAGGTTGATGAGCACAGCATGCAGATGGATGGATGGCTAAGTAGGTAAGTAAGTAGGTAGGTAGGTAGGTAGGTAGGTAGGTAGGTAGGTAGATAGGTAGGTAAATAGGTAGGTAGGTAGGTAGATAGATAGGTAGGTAGGTAGGTAGGTAGTATATATTGTCTACTTCCTGTGTGGTCAATGACTTTATTATATCCACCACAAAAAGCAGACTTAGGTATTATTCTCAGGTTATATAGCTGAGGAAACTGAATCTCTGAGAAGTTGAATAACTTGCCCAAAATCACATAGCCAGAGAGTGGCCGAAACAGGATTAAGATCAAGAACAGAGTCAGTACCAGCTCCCATCCCCCTCTCAGACTGCTCTGCAAACCCAAGTCCGGGCACAGCTTATCCTGCTTTGACTGCCTTGAATGTTAAGATCAACCTGAGGGAGAGGTAGAGGCCCCTATTTCTTTCCATATCGTTGTGTAGAGACGGTAACTAATACATGGCTGATTGATTGGAGAGTTTAAAATGTCTCCTCAAAATGATTTTCCCTTTTTCAAGGTGACGTGGTACATACCAATCTAACTACTGACAAAGCTGGAATTTCACACCCCACTAGGAAGCCGGAGCCTCTTGGCTTCAGCCCAGTCCCTGAAAACTAGAAGAGTAGTTAACAATGGCATGAGCCCCCAGGGCATATTGTTAAGGGAGCCAAGTTCAGAATTATTCATGACTATGTTGGAACCTCAGTGACTAGAAGCAACCTCTTCTCCCTGACAAGTCTAAAATTTTATAAGGTAGATGAGAGTGACGAAAACATTACTCCTCCACGTGGGGGTTTCAGCAACATGGAGGTGTTTTTGGAAATGCCATTTGAATTTTCCGGTTCCTAAAAAGAGACTGGCTTCTACAGCTTGACATAGACCGGGGCCCCATACAGGAATCCCAAGTTAGAAAGAGTCCCTCATCCGTGGTTTCTCCTCTGATTCCAAACTTTGCCTTCATGTATGTTTGTTCATCCTACTAGTCTTCATAATGCTATCTTTGAAATTACAAAAGTCAAGTCTTTATGAGTGAGAACAATAGTTAAGTAACCATTCTATTGCATAGAAAGTTCCATATAGCCCATCAGGAAAGGGCTATTTTAATTAGTGTTTTGACTGAAAACTTGATTATCTACATCAGTTTTGGAACAGGGATTGCAAAAATAAACACGAGCTGCAGACAAACTGGAAATGTCACACCAGGCTTTGGTTTCCATATCCTTACATACCAGCTCTTTCACTGCAGTCACATTGAGGGCATCACAGAGATTTCCATTATGGATGCTAAAATATCTTAAGCTCTTTTTACATTGGTCTCATTACCCCTAAAAGTTGTGAATAAGAACCACATGATGGTGAAGAGCTTGGACTCACTTCATAAAAGGAGAGCCTAGATTCAGTCCATGATTCCACCTCTGTGTGATCTTGGGCAAGTGATTCACTTGTACCACTTGTACTGTCTACAGTGAGGATTATAACAGTGCATCTTTCCTTACATTGTGGGGAGTAATACATGGGATACTTATTAAAAGGCACCCAGCACAGCGCCTGGCCCAGAGTGAAGTCTGGTACAGATGTGCGCTATTAACACGGTTATATTCTCTTCTGCAAATAGTTTTGTGTTGAACACTCAGTAGAAGCTCAATATAAAAGTGATAATTTGTAACATGAGGGAGAGACAGTAATCACAAATTGGACTATGCTGCAGAGTAATTCTGGGAGTTTAAAATTATTTTATTTTGTAAAAAGTGTCTCCCTTTTTATGTAATCCTTTCCCTGCCTTTCTTGTTCCCCTATTTTATACTTTGCCCAAAGAATCATTTAGTGTTCCAAAATATTAGACTCTTATAGGTATTCAGAAGCCCCAGGAGAAATGGAATACATTTACAGACCCATAAACATCTAAATTAGTGCTATAAATGGGAAATATAGTCTATAGTTGGAGAGTGCCCAATACATAATATGTTGTGGCATAGAAGAGACTTCCTTTTTGGTGGCTGGAAAATCTATTTGCTCTAAGTATTCAATTTTAAAATGGATAATAAAAATAAATAATAGGCATGCTTCTGCTCAAATTGCACCTTTCATGGGAGATCTCAAAGAGTTTTTCAACTGTTAATTTATGACCCCTGGGGAAAGGTAGGTGGCAAGTAATATCTTTTTTCCTCCAATGGAGAAACAGACATAAAAAGGCCCAAGTGACTTGTCCAAGGACACAAGGCAAGCCCTGGCTTCAAGCAGACCATCTCGAAGAAAACACAAATGCGGATATTCTCTTTAAATGACTAAAACTTGTATTATTTGCCTATAAAACCTGCGATGAATGCTAACGTGGGTTGCTCAATGGTCATACAACCCACACTATTTTCATTAGTGTATCGGTTGTCTATTCCTGCAAACTACCACAAAAGCTTAATGGTGTATGTTGGTAAATATTTATACTTGATAATGCATCTGCAGGTAGGTTGGGAGTTGAATATCCCGGCCGGGCTCAAGGCTAAGCTCAACTCAACAGCCCAAGATGAAGCTTAACTCTGGATCCTCTCCCTGTGTCTACGTGGACCAGGTGTCTAGCCAGGGCATGATCATCTCATGGCAACAACATGAGGGACAAGAGAACAAACCCCAACCACGTAAGTGAACCCTGTCATTTCTATTAATCCTTACGTAGCATGGATTTCTATTAACGCGTACAGGACAATGACTGTACGCTCCGATGGAAGGATGGGGAGGTACACTGTCTCCCTATCATGAAGCTGAAAAGTCTAATGGCCACGTCTCCAATTAATTTCCTTGAAAGTGCATTACCCCCATGGAAGTGAGAGAAGGGAGTACTGTCAAACAGTAATCGAATTTACCACAACCAGCGCTTTATCACTGTTAACATTTCAGTCATTCTGTACGGGCTAATCTTTGAAACTCTGGCTGTTTGAAATGCTTCTGTAACTTCTGCTGGACGATTGGCTCGATTCTGGCTCAGAAGGGTGAAATATAAGTAAGAAAAAAAATACCTCTTGTCACTTACTAGTATCTCCTTGATACCAAGTTAAAGAGACCAATCAGATTTAAGAGGGAATTGCCTAATAAGGAAATAATCCTAACTGGTTTAGATGAAATTGTATACGGTAGATCAATGTAAATAATTCGAGCTTATTTGGGCTTGTTATTGAGTCTGTTCACAGACACTGTGAATAGCTCCTGAGATTCCCAAGGAATCGGGAATGCTTGACATCTATAAAAGGTATAGTGAAATATCTTTAGCATATTGATGTTGATTGAAGATGAGATCCTGTTAACTAACAGTTCGACCTCCACAATGTCTCAAAAGTCACATACTCCAGGATGCCACGTGAAGGTTCTTCGTCCTGGTATAAATCTGTATTCTCTTAAAGTCACCTCATGCTCCCACTCTATTCCTCCAATACTCCAATTTGTTTCTCAACCTAAACCAAAATTTCCAACTTGAGTATTTGTTGAGGATAAGACACTCTCTCTCTTTCTCCTCATACAATGCAGAGCTAAAGAAAAATGAAGGATCAGGGTTCGGTCTAATCTAAATATCCCCCACAATGATGAGATTTAAGGAATCGTCATCATTTTAGACAACGAGTAATAGGAAAAAGGGTTCAATGCATGGCAAGGCCCAATGGGGTGACCTGGAGGTAGAGGAAAACAGGAAAACCAGTTGTCCCTTTGACACTACTTTGAAGAGCAGATTTCTCTCCAAGGTAGCCAAAGCCTCTCCACATCACTGCCAACCCCTGCCTCCAGGCTCTATCTGAATCACTTTCCTTTCTGGTTAAATCTGTGGATTCCTGCGGGGAGAAGAGTGGCTCCCACTGGCTCAGGATTATTTCTGCAGGTTATATATGTCACAATTTTCCATGCCTTTAACAAGACTCAATTAAAAATTAATCGGTCCAGCATGGCAATTTGAGAGGTAATTGTTTCTTTTCCTGACTCCATGGCCATAGGCAAAAAGCACACCCAGAACCTAAATTAATCATCTAATTGGGATTTTTCCATACTGCAGCCACTCAGCCTTCCAGGGGTCCCAACAGTGTGCTGCCTGACCTCAGTAATTAGATTGCCCTAGTGTCCACTCTGTGGGCTTTCTGCCTTACTTTCCCTTCCAAGTCCCTTTAGTAAAATGGAAAATAGCCATATAGGCTGTTTACCTGGGCCCTCTTCAATGGCCAACAGCATTTATCTTCAGAAGATAAAACAGCACTCATGAGGAAGTACAGGAAAGGGGGGAAGGTTAATATATTCAACATGGTTTGTAATAGCAAAAGTTGGTTTCAACCTAATAGCAGTCCTGGATTGGTTAAATATATAGTCTATTCTTGTAACATGTAGCAATGTGGCTAAAAAAGAAATAAGGAAATGATTGGATTTCATAGGTCTTTAGGTCAAACTGTATGTATTCTCATTTAACATGTACAGCAATGCTGCAAGTTGTAAATGCCATTATCTTGCTCTTTCTTACCACCCCCCAAACATATGAGTATATTAAGCCTGAAAAGAAATCAGGTTAGTACCAGAGGTATTTGTGTTGGTTCATAGTAGCTAACACGCACATTACCTTTACATTCAGTTTTGATACAAGACATATATTGTGTTTACTCTTCCAAATTTAAGATTAATAGCAATTTTCTTGTTTCTCTAAGAAAGAATGTAAAGGCCTGTATTTTATTATTTCATTTATAAAAACTTTTTTTAATGTTTATTTATTTTTGAGAGAGAGACACACACACTGAATCTGAAGCAGGCTCCAGGCTCTGAGCTCTCAGCACAGAGCCTAACACGGGGCTCAAACTCACAAACCATGAGATCATGATTCGAGTTGAAATCAGATGCTTAACTGACTGAGAGCCAGGCAGGTGCCCCAATATTATTTCATTTTTTTAAACCTTGACATGAGTTTTGTATTTTCCTAAAGAGGTGGTATGAAGGAATCTAAGTATCTTATTTTTTCCTAAGTTTCTACCTGGGAAAAATTAATTAAAATATTTCACTATATCCTTCCCATAAGTTTATTCATCGTACACTAATGATCATAAGTTAAAAAAAAATTTTGGAACTGTATTTAAGTGAAAGATAATAGCTTATATAATTTACATTCAGAAGACCAGAATTGGGATTGCCTCAAGATAGGACTCAAGTTCTCTTCTCTCCATGACCATAAACATTTATCTTCATCATAGTGTTCTGAGTACACTCAAACTATAATCTTATATATTCTTGCAAAGTTTTGCTATTTGTGAATATTTTGGATCACCAAAGACATACTTGTCATGTGGTAGGTAATTAATAAGTTAATTTTAATGGAATCAACCTGACCATATCCTTCAATTTCAATCCAGTATCTTTAAATGATGCCAGTGACATATGTGTTCTGTGAACTCCATAATAGCATACAAATATTAGGTATAAGCATTATTAAAAATGGAAATGACATATCATCCAGCCGCTAGGATTTCATCTGCCAACACAGCCCATCTCTTCACAGTAGTAAATGTAGCTTCAATGACACCTCTTTCTTATGGCATGATAGTTGTATGAAGTTATGGAAGCCATCATTTTAATTTCTCTAGAATTACTTGTAGGTGTATAAAAAATAGTGCCAATAATCTTTCTAACATCTTTGGAGTATACTCCAAAGAAGTGAATAAATAAGAAAGTGTGTCAGTTTTTTTCTGGTACTTGAATCTTGACATTGAAACTATCAGTCCAAGACCCTAGTTCCATTACTAAAAGGATACTGGATCTAGTACAAAATACCCAAAGCCATACCTCTTCATCCCATTAGACACAGTTTTCAGTTAATTCTGCTTTTCCTAGCCTCATCTCTGTCTTTAATAAGATAAGCGCTTATACCTATACTGACAAAAAGCAGTAAATATCACACTTAGTCTAATCATGATAGTCCAACAATGCTTAGAAGTTTCAACAACATCCACTTAACATGTATATGGAAGGTAAAGACAAATCCAGTTTTTAATTTTTCTTATTTAATGTGTTCTGTAAAAGTTCAGCGTTTACATTGTCAGTTCACAGACCCTATCTGGACATAATAGTTATTTACACAGCTGCTAATGGCATATTATAGGCAGCACTGTTATGATTCTCCAACTACCTGTTAATCATAACAGTCCTAGAGCTTTATTAGCTATCTCCAAGCAAAGCATCTCCCCAGAGAGAAGAATTTGCAGCAAGCAGGAAGCTCTCGCTTCTTCATGTTCATATCATGAAAACTTGAGAGCTCTCAAAGACCTCTGACCTTTTCTCCATGGCTGAGGTTGCCTTGGGGGGCTCTTTCTCATGGAGAAAGATCCACCGGCCTACTTTCCCCTCTCTGCTTCCTCCCTCCCCTGGCCAGCCTCACCTGTGATCACCCAGGGTAGGAAGAGACAAAGCCCTCCCTGGGTTCTGATAACAGGGTTGCTTGACTGTAATTACAGGCTTTTGCTTCCCAGCTATCCAAATGACAGTCACAATCGAGACTGAAACTCCTCAGTCAGATGGAATCAATTACTGAGCAAAATTGGGAGGTTAATTTTCCCCAGAATGAGATATGCCTTTTAGCTTTGCCGTCTCTTTCACTCCAGCTGGTGGCTTATTTGGTTGCATTGTTCTCTGGCCATATGAACAAAGTTCCATTAGGAAGGATTTCCAAAAGAGTTGATTTGAAAAGGAAACTCCATCAGCCTCCAAACCCAATACATGCTGAATGGAAGGACTGTTATTAACTAAGCAGCATGGATGGCTAGTCAGTAGAATTTACATTTGATGGACATGGAGCTAATCCAATAAGAAGAAATGGAGTCTTCTTGCATAGTACTACCACCTTCTTGGAGCTCCCCTGTCTGCTACAGCACGACCCAGCACTGAAAGAGTCTTCTCCTCTGGAAACTGCCATGAAAATAAGCCATTCCCCTCATTCGAATACTTTTCTACATATGACAAAGCATCTCTTTAAAAACAAATAACCAGTATTCATCTTCTCCAAGTGGATTGCCCCCTCTGAATGGCTTAGTAAAAGTATTATAAAAAAGTTCCATTTAATCAGTGATAATTATAGCAATAATAATATCGAGTGACTCAAATTTATTTAGTCTGTACTATGTCTGAGGAAATGCTAAATATTTTTGTATTAATGCAGTCCCCTCAAAACTGCCCTAAGTAAACTGAGGCACTGACAAGTTGGGTAACTTGCTCATGTTTACCTGACTGGTAAATAATAGAGCCAGAGTATGAGCCCAGGTGATCCGATTCCAGAGCCTACAATTTAAAATCACACAATTTAAAAACTACAATTTATTTTTTTTTTTAATTTTTTTTAACATTTATTTATTTTTGAGACAGAGAGAGAGCATGAACAGGGAGGGTCAGAGAAAGAGGGAGACACAGAATCGGAAACAGGCTCCAGGCTCTGAGCTGTCAGCACAGAGCCTGATGCGGGGCTCGAACCCACAGACCGCGAGATCATGACCTGAGCCGAAGTCGGACGCTTAACCGACTGAGCCACCCAGGTGCCCCTAAAAACTACAGTTTAAAATGAACACTGTCACTCCATATGTTAGTGAATTCCAAAAAAGAGTACTCCCATCCCTTTGTAGGTGGGAAAATG